TTTGGAGTGTAATCCTATCATTTCTCTATAAGAAAATGATTAATATATACTTAATTCAATACACCTTCTAAGACGCATCTTGTTTGTATAGTTTTATCTTTAAATTTATTTACTTTTAAAAGAATAATAAATTTTTAATAAATGTATTATATAATGTTAGTGTGTTAAATTAGAATATATACCAATTATCCTTCAATCACATAAGTGCTACATGAATTTTTTTAGTTATTTACTTAAAAATTTTTGTAACTAATATAATGTTTACATTTTTTAAAATGATCTTTTAAACTTTAAATTATATAGTTGAAAATTGATTAAAACTTGCACTATATGGGCTATTTGGTTAGAGGGCTAATTTTATTGGGAAAATTTTTATTTAAAAAAGTAATTAGAAAAGTAATATATGGAAAGTTGACAAGTAGTTTTGCAGTAAAATTTTATTAGAATTCTATTGGGTTATTAACTTTATTGTGTTATTAAGGAGTTGATATAGAGAAAATCGATAGAAGAAGTTGTTAAGTGGGTTTAGGATAATAATAGGGAAATGTTTTCCTTTCAAAATAAATTGGAAGAAAACTTTATAGGTTGAGAATTATGTCAAAAAAATAAATGTTCAAAATGTTACCTTTATTTCTTTTACCATAGCATTAATATATAAAAATACGTAAATAACCTTATAAAAAATTTAAAAAAATTTAAAGAGAAACTTTCCCCCTACCAATCACCTTGAATAAGTTGATCTCCACTACAAAAATTACATGTATAGCTTTTAAAAAAATGTGTTGTTAATATACATATTAGACAAAATTTTTTTTTTAAAAAAGAGTTTTTTTTATATATACATGTATAAGTTAAATATTTACTTATTATAAATTATTATTATTAATTTATATAAAAAAATATAAATATAAATATTATTTTTATATTAATACTATGTATAATATTTTAATTAAATAATTTACAATCCTAAAATCAGCTTTTTTTTACCCAAAATATATAATAACAGAAATATAGTAAGTAGATGTTTAACTTATGCTATTAGAAAATTATTAAAAAAATGCCAATATATATATTTTTAAGAATCCAATCCATCGCTTTCTCTTTTTCTCTCCACTAGGGTTTTGGCCATGGAAGGTTTCTATCCGGTGATTGTTTGTGTTCTTTGTGGGTGTTTGCCTTTTGATTTCCAATTTTATATTTCCATGGGACCTAGCTATGGTGGCTGGAGGAGGGGTTAATTATGGAAATTGGTTTTGAACTCTGTTAGGTTGAGAAAATGGAGGTAGTAGCGGAGGAGGCGGAGGTGATATATGTTGGTTGGAGGGCAGTCGGTAAGAGTGTGCAGGAGAATGAAGATAGGGGGTCGGTGTCTATTTTAGGATGACTATGGGGATGGAAGGGGTACAATATATTGGTGGCGCGGGAAAGGGTGAGTAAGGGGCTAGTTAGGGCGAAAGGACAGCGGACATGGGCATATCTTGTGGAGCTCAGCGTGGAGGGCAAGAGGCAATTAATTGGTTTGGTGGTATGTGGTGGCTACGCGATGGGTTGTTTGCAGCAAATCTTGATGGCTTGGAGGGAGGGAGAGCGGTGGCTGACGACTGTCCTGATCCTTTTGGCAACGACGAATGTTCGGTGGCGGCGGTTACCAATGGATTGGATTGGCTCTGTTTCTGGAATTTTTAGATTTGATATGATTCCGAAAAATCAGTTGAATGCAAATTGAATTCTTTTTATTTTTACGGCAATTGAATTTAATAAAGGAGAGATAAATTAGGATATGGTATTATAAAAAAAATGATATATACACCCAATAAAATTATATAATATGTTATATATTAATAATTTTTGTTATTTGTATTATTAGAATTAATCCTTTTTGTTATTTGTTCCATTAAAATTAACTATTTTTGCTACTTATGTAATCAAAATTGATGATAATTATATTCATTTTAAAAAACAGCTTATATTATTTTAGAGTTTTCTTTAGGTATGCTTGAGGTTTTAATAGTATCGAATTTGTAGGGTTTCTCCTTACTTATTTGGGAAAAATATTTTTTTAGTGATTTGATTAGAATTTTATTTTGGGTTAAGCGAAAATTTAATTTTGTGTTTTATATAAGTAAAAAGATATTGATCAAATTTATTATAATTGTATTGGGTTATTTTAAAAAAATTTATACTACCCTTTTACGCAAATATGTACTTAAACTTAAATTCTTATTAATTAAATAAACCCTATTCTGAAGTGGACTATAGTATTTTACACCCCCCCCCCTCTCCATATTTCATTGAGAGTAGGATTCAAGTACCTTAAATTATATTTTTGCTTTGTGTGATGCAACTATGAATTGAAAATATTAACCTTTGAATTTTTTTCTTTGACAAAAAAAGAATTGATTTTTTAATTTTTCGGTTAAGCTTTGATTAGATTAATAGTTATTATTATATTATTATTTTTATGATTACAAAGGATGCACCAAAATCAATAATAATTTACTACTGTCATTTGGACGACAAGAAAACCTTCAACAGATGTGCCATCAACGTACAAAACTGAGCAACAACCAGATCAAAATCCCACAAAGAAATTGTTAAAATAAGGTTTCTTTAATTAATAAGAATTTAGGATTAAGTGCATATTTGTGTAAAGGATAATATAGACTTCTTAAAAATGACTTGATACCTTTATATATGATTAATTTAATTAATATGTTTTTTATTTATATAAAATATAAAATTGAGTTTCCCCTTAATTCAGAACAAAATTCTAACCAAACCACTAAAGAATAATTAACCCGACTTATTTTGGTATTAAATCAATTAAATAAGTAAATCTTGACTACTGCTGGGTTGGGTGGATTAGTGACGGTCATGTAATATTCCGTTTTCCCCTAGTCTTGTAATATTTCATATATTTTAAAATATAAGTCATTTCTTTTTTTTATATGTAATTTTAAATAATATTTTTATATAATATATAAATAATAATTAAGATTTTTTATAAGTAAATTTAATTTAGTAGTTATTTAACAAAAAATGTTAATTATATCTTTATATACTATAAAACATATTTCTTAAAATGTTAAAAGTTAAAACCCTTATATTTTTCAAGAGAGAAAATACTAGTCATATTAAGGGGAGGGTTTTTTCTAATTTATATCTTTAGAGTATAGATAAAGAATATAATAAAGATATTTTTTTATTATAAATTTATATTAAAAAAACAAATAAAAACATTCAATTTATTAATTATTTAATTAAATTTATTTATGTGATAATAACATTAAAATTAATATCAATTTTAATATTTTTTTATACAAATTAATTAAAAAAATACTTTTATTCTATATTCTAAAAAACACAAACAAATGTAAACGCACATAGACCTTGGGTTGGGCATATAGGCCCTAACCCAAGCAAAAAAATTTAATAAAATGACCTTTACAAAAATGTAAAGGCTTTACCCATAATGACTTTACCTGAGAGCTTTTTTCATAACTTAAGAAAAAGTCCAAATATCTTTTTAATAGTAAGCAAAATTTTAATGAGACAAATCAAGAGTTTTTATTTTTATAGGAATGACCTAAATTTTCTCATCTTCATCTTCATCTTCATCTTCATAATTTCATTTTTACTTCGAATAGTTTTTTTTTTTTCTCTTCCCTCCCTCTTCACTTTTAGTTTTTGTATTTCACTCTCCTTTTTCTTCATTCTCTCAGGGCATGTTCGTATCTTTTCATCAAAACCCTTCGATACAATTTCTTCTCGTGTTCAAGATATGAACAAAAAATAATAATAATATAAAAAATTTTAAGAAAATGATTCAATTAATTTAAAATTTAAGATTTGATTTGAAAATCTCATATTTAAATTTTAAGTTGGGTAAAATGAGATTTGAGAAGAGGAAGAGTTATGAACAAAAAATAATAATAATAATAATCCTCCCCTGCCAAAGGAAAGAACTTTTTTTAAGCCAGGAGTAATGAAAGAATATGAGAAAGATTTATATTCATTTAATGTAAGTTTTTCTCTTCCCTTAATTTATCTTAATTTGATCAATTTGAAGCAAAATATAAGTTGGTCAAATGCGTAGTAACTATCGCAAGAAACAGAGCACAAGCTTAAAACTTAAAAGGCCTTACCCACCTTAACATGCTGGTTGTGCCCAAGTTCTGCTCTGGCAAAAGTTAGAGAAATCTTTAAATGAAATTATCTTTCATAAAATAAATTAAAAATAGTATATAATAAGTTATTCTTTTAAAAAATTTTAGATGAGTTATTTATAAATTTATTTTTTTAAAATTAGTTATTAAATTAAAAATTTTATTAATGTAGATTATACATATTAAATTTTATATTTATCTAATATTTATAAATTTTTAAATAAAAAATTTATTTATTGATATATATTTAATAATATTAAATAATTTTATAATTAATAAAATAATTAAATTTATTAAAATAATTTATAAATTAATATATATAAAATAAAACTTTTAACTCAATAATTATTTTTAAAACTATTAATTAAAATAAAACCTTTTAGACAAATTCTTAAAATAAAAAAAAATTCAAGAGCACCACTTACAAAAACAGTTCCCAAGAAGAAATTCAATCCATCAATCCCAACGTTTCATTATTATTAAAAAGGTAAAAATCCCAATTGGGCCCGGAGGTGCAGGACCCACAAATGAGTCACGCTGCGAGAGCAGAAGAGCAGAAGGCAGACGGCGACCACCGGCGAGGAAGCCGCCGGCTGTCGGAACCTTTACTGAGAGTACTGTAGATGCTCACGTTATTGGGCCCTACGGCTGCAGTACTGCAGCCTCACCCCCATTCAGATTTTGCCACGTTCTCCTTCTTGGGTTCAGATAAACTTCAAGGATCGATGGAGCTCCAGATGACACATCTGAAGAAGTGTCGAGGGCGGAGAGATGGGGTTATATAGATTGTCTGGAATTAGCAGATAATTTGATCACGATTGTCAAAGCATAATGGGAAAATAACAAAACATAATCAAACCCCTGGGGATATACCTTGGATTTCGTACCAAATAAAAGTTTTGCTAATATCGTAGAAGATGATTTGCAATCCCAATTACAATTTATAAATGCCTAGTGGTGTCTTTAGGGACATAAGGGTTGTATTTATTAT